GTAGAAACTGTTCTTCAGCCTGTTGGTGCAGCTGACTATGTTTCTCTATCTCCTATCTAGTAGGAGAATGAAGAAGGGCTGACCAGGGTGTGAATCGTCCCTGAAAATTTTTCTCACTCTCCTAAGGCAGCGAGCCCTAGCGAGGTCATCTAGTGTATCAGGGAACAGCCGACAATGTTTTGTGCTGTGCTCACCACCCTCTATAATGTCTTTCTATCTGTGGCTGTCAAGCCAGCATACAACACTGTAATGCAATATGTGAGGGTGCTTTCTATTGTGGACCGGTAAAAGGAGGCCATCAATCCTAAACTAATGCAATCCTAAATTGTATTAACAAGAGGGATACAATCAAGATCAAGGGAGGTAGTAATACCACTCTATAAAGCCGTAGTAAGACCACATCTAGAATACTGCATCCAGTTTTGGTCACCACACTATAAAAAAGATGTTGAGACTCTAGAAAAAGTGCAGAGAAGAGCAACCTGGATGATTAGGGGACTGGAGGCTAAAACATACGATGAACGGTTGCGGGAACTGGGCCCGCCTAGTCTAGTGAAGAGAAGGAGCAGGGGAGACAGGATAGCAGTCTTCCAATATTTGAGGGGCTGCCACACCTGAAGCACCTGAAGACCAGAGAAGGAATAATGGATGGAAACTGAACCTAGAAATAAGGAGAATTTTTTTTTTCTGACAGCGAGAACAATCAACGCATGGAATAGAAGTTGCCTTCGGAAGTGGTGGGAGCTTCATCCCTGGAGGCTTTCAAGAAGAGACTGGACTCTCATCTGTCAGAAATGGTGTAGGGTCTCCAGCTTCAGGAAGGGGTTGGACTAGATGACCTACAAGGTCCCTTCCAACTCTGTTAATCTGTAATGGGCCAGGTCTCTATAGAGATTTCTCAGCTATCCAGATCACGGTTGTCCCAAAGGTGCTTTTTTCTTTCTTTTTTTTTCAAGAGGCAACTGGACTTTCTGGTTATTCTTTGAAGACCTTTCACTTCTCACTCGAGAAGTTTCTTGGATGAGAAGCAAAACATCTTCAAAGAAAAACCAGGAAGCCCAGTTGCCTCTTGAAAAAAACAACAACAAAAAAAGCCCCTTTGGGACGAAAAGGGGCAAAGCATGACATGTGCTACCAATGTTTTTGGCGAGGTCTTTGAGCATCTCTATGTTGCCTCCCCCTCGCCCGTCTTCATGCATGCCCTCTTAAGCCACTCTGCGGAGAAAGTGCCCATGTGTTGGGCTGTCACCGCCACAAAGGCCTTTCCACTCCACAGCGGCTCAAAAAAGGACATTACCAGCACAGTGGGAACTGAAATGCAAGCATCTTCCAGGCATCATCAAGTCCTTTCCTTCGCGGCGAGGAGTCTGATTCATCAGCCGCTGCTTTTGTGTTTCGAGGGTTTGATGGCTCCGCAAAGAACAGCTGGCTTTTCTAACTTAGGGATCCGAATGGCCTCGATTTGGAAGAGAGTGCAGGGCTGTTAATTTTACCCTGGGACACCCGTGTACGCTTGCTGGAAAAGCAGGCGCTGAAGGCCCCTTGAAGGCGACGAGATGTCCTTCCACGGCTTCTTATTTATAAAGAATGAGAACCAGGGCAAAGAGATGCGCAAGGTGGTTTCTTCTTTAGTCTGGGGAAAACTGGGGGTGGGGTGGAAGGAATCTGGAAAGCCCCCAAAGGTTAACATTTTCAACATCCCCAAAGACGGTCCTGAGCGGTAATTTTGTGACATAATCGGGGGTGGGTGGGTGGGATTCTAATGGTTTGGACTGGTTCTATAGAACTGGTTACTATGGTTCTGCACAGTTCGGAGAACTGGCAAATAGTGCCCCTGGCTGGCCCCGCCCCTCTCCACCCACCCCTCCCCTCCCAGTCAGTCTTTATCGCGCATGTGTGACATCGTGCACATGCCTGATGTAGCTGACTGCGTTCTCCCCCACCCAGTCACTCCTTAAGATATTTCTTGGTTTTTCTTCCCCCCCCGACGATCAGCTGTTCCGACGATCAGCTGTGCTAGGATCCCCCTCGCTGTCTCACTGCTTTGCCCAGGAGGCTTCCCCGAGGCCCTGGGGCAAAAAAATGGGGGGGGGTGCTGCGAAGAAGGAGGAGGAGGAGGAGGAGGAAGAAGAAGAAGAAGAAGAAGAAGAAGAAGAAGAAGAAGAAGAAGA